ATATATATATATATATATATATATATATATATATATATCAAAATCACTTTTTTTCTTAGTGATGAGCATCAATTGTTTGATTTTAATGTATATGCAGCTGATAAGGAACTTTCTGTCACCTCCTATGTCTTCTGGAGCTAGTCTTCAGATAGAGCCCCCTTCAAACCAAAGCTACGTTAGCATTAATCCTCCTTCCATGCCCGTGCAGAAAGTAATTCAGCAGAGTTCCCTCTATGCTCTAAAGATCACTTATTTTTTCATTCTCTATTTTATTTGCTAGCTGTCTCATTTTTAGTTTGCAAATTTGAAGCGTTCTTGGGCCTTTCATCCGGGCTCAGCTCTAGAATCTGGTAACGATCCCAAAAGAATTGCTTTGTCAAGGTATTGAAACCAAAAATTGTTTTTTTATTTTTTGGATGTATGATTCATAAACTCTATTGATTAAATGCGTTTAATCGATTGCCAAGTTCAAGCTGTTCTCGAATCAAGGTTGGAGCTGAAGCAGAAGCTTCTAAGCTTGATGGAAGCTTGCTCAGCCTGGGTCTTCTGCCTGTTTCAGAACCGAGCTCCATGCAAACAATACCATTTCATAAACACTATGCTCATAATCTGCAACATATTCAGGTAAATTCTATCATATCATTAAAGGCAGTATTTTTTTTTTTTTTATTAATTCATTCTACTTCATGTCATCAATTCAGAAAAACAGAGAGGAAAATATTTCAGAAGCTATTGGTCCACCCACTCTTTACAATTTCATGGGCCTGCCTCATGATCTCATTAATGAAGCAGATACAGAATCCAAAGATGAATTCTAATACAGATTATCTTTGAAAGTAGAAAGCTTGCAAAATTAAATTTTTCGATGTATAGTTTTCCGTATCATGCAGTAATTTCTTCTCGTTTCCTTGCTTCAATCTAGTATGTTCCAGGCTTTCAGCTCCATTGTTGTTTGCAATTATTGGCAAAGCATGAATCAAAATTTACTAGCAATGGATTTGAAGAACTGATACAATTAAAAATCATTATAAATTCATGCTGTTTCAGAACAGAACAAGAATCTGAGTTGAAGACTTGAGGAATTGAAATATTTAGAAAAAGTTGATGGGTGCTGAATTCATGTGAGGTTGCAGAGCAGAGTGTGTTTAAATGTTATGAGTCAATACGGATCTGAGGGTTCGGTGAAAGATATCAAAATTCGGATATGATAGGATGGTGGTCATTTTCATGGCAAGGCCTGTGCAGTCCTACCAACCATTTTACTGAATTAGGGACCACAAGCATCACATGATATATTATGAATAAATACAATATATTTATTATAAATAAAACAACATGAAAAAAAGAATCAGGGCTGTATCTGAATGGGCCCTCAAGAGTTATTAGCCTTGCAGAACTAAAATTCTCTTTTGCATCTCTCTCTCTCTCTCTCTCTTGTGGAGATTATTGCATGTATATGATCACTGTTGTATTTAGGACTTCTTTTAAGATGAGAGAGAAGAGCTAGAGAGAGAAATGAGAATCAACATTCTCCTAAACCCTAAACTAATAATATATCATTAATATTCTCAATAACTCATGTATTCTATTTCAATCTACTTGAAGATGTCTGTAGATTGAAAAAAACAAATAACTTCTCTAGTGACCAGCAATACGCATTTGGATGGTCAAATGATTTTAAAGTTCATGAGTGTATGGGATGTAAATCGCTCAAATATGATCGAGCTAAGCACCTGTTCGCGTTTGAAATTGTTTTTTTGTTCAAATTTATTTGTGAAATTTATATTTGTGTATGGTTCGATTTATTTGAATTTGGCTTGAATTATTTATTTAATCTTGAAATAGCTCGATACTTATTGAAAATTTATGTTTTGTTAGAAGTTTGAAATAGTTCGAATTGAGTTCGTTTGATTAGCTTGAATTTTTTTTTTTTTAAATGTAGAGAATTTTAAAAAAGTTTTGAAATTTAGAAGTTTTTATTTCTATACATTATAATTACTTGCTTTATAAAACAAAAATTATCTGCATGAAAATCCTAAATACCAAACTATTGAGAACATAAAATAAAACCGAAAATAACATACAAGTTGAGCTTAGTAGTCTTGTGATTCACCTCAAGGACTCCAACCACGCTACAAAAACTCAAGAATCAAGATAGAGAATAAATGCTACTCTACAAATATCCGGGAGAGCGAAAAACAAATAATGAGTGTACAAAATAGGAGAGAGGACTCAGACCGAGATGACAATCCAAATATTATGCTTTCGAACTCGTCTTTGTCAAAGTTTTGTGTGAATAGGCTGAATCTTGAATAGGCTCGATGCCTTTTCCCTTTGCTTTCAGTCCATTAAATAATAATCTTCTTACAATCTATTTTAGGTACAAAATATTCTGGATAATCTTGTTTAGCTAACTTAATAATGCATATTCATAATCTAAATATTCAACTAAGAGAGAAATAAATCAGAATAAAGCAATTGGAATTAATTTAAATAAGAAAGCTCCTACTTATAGAAAACACCTAATTTAGCTGTCTGATTTTCGTCCTTCCTAATTGACAGTCTTTCGATCTCGCCACACAGAAGTGCTCAGGTGCTCACAGGGGATTAGAAAGAAGTGGACAGGGTCAGAGAAAGAAGTCAAAGACTCAGAGTATGACATCGACGAGAGTGTGGCGACCACGAGTTTTAAATGGCTTAAATTAATTTGATCAAGTTTTAGCGATTTGATGGATGGTGGATTGTTAAAATATGATCAAACGGCTCAAATTAATTCAAAAAAAAAAAAACATAAAATAATCTAATTATTATGTTAACCTCTTTTAAAATTATATATTTAAGTTTTAAAAAATTTATTTTTTTTATTCATAATTTAGATATGTAAATTAACACTCATAATTTATAAGTTATATATAATGTCACATGTCATGGCTTGTTGGTTGGCGAGGTTCACTGTAAGTCTCCTCAGGTCATAGGTTCGATCCCTAGTAGTGCTGAGTTCTCGAATATTTAGACACATGGCGCAGACTCTCATCATAGAGTCTAACACATGGGAAGTCAATATTTGGATCTCTTTAAATTGAGTCAATTCAAGAAGAACACGTTCAAACACACGTTGTTTGCGTTCGACTAATTTTATTATTCAAATAACAAAAATTTGCTCGTGTTAAGCTCGCTAGCTTAATGAACAAACCGAACCAACCAAGTTTACAAGTTGAAGACAAATTATTCACGAAAAATGAGCTTTTTTGACAGCCCTTTGTGAGCACAGCGATAGTTTCATGATAATTTTATCTCTTAGAAGGATTTAGATCCATATTCCACCAAGTTCTTATGTATTTATATATCTACCAACTAAGCTTCAATTTTATATAAATGCCCCCTTACCCTGCACATTTTACATCGTAATAATTACATATTTATGATTTTGATGTGATAAAAGATTTGGGTGGTAAGAAAATAAAAAGCAAAATTTAAAGATTAGATATATAAAATTAAACATAAGATATATCTTAATGTAGTAGTAAGTTTGACATGGGATAGAGAAGTCAATTCTGTATATAAATATACTAGCTACTGTTTATTAGAGGTAAAGAAATAACTGATGTAGGATAATTGTAAGGTTTAGGTGCTAGAATTAAAAAAAATATTAGAGATAAATAGGTGTATAAAATTAAAGATAACAGTAAGAAAACCAACAGTCTAACAAACTTAGAAGTACATGATTTTTATTTCAACAATAAAAACAAACACGACATCCAAATGACTTAAAATAGTTAACACAACTTAAACCATTGCCAAAATAGCTTGTAAATGCTTAAAGACAAGCAAAGAAAAAGAATCAATGAATGAATTGAGCTCCAAGCTGGTCTCCAATGCTGAGCTATTTTATTAAGGCATCCATCAACTCAGAAGTTTGAGCCAAAGAAGTCTTCAATATAGATTATAACTCCCAATCAAAAGAATTTTTTTAATATCAATTTATTAAGAAAAGTTATTGAAATGAGCATGAGACTTAGGATAGATACACTAATAGTTAAATAAATTCTTAACTAGAATGCTTAAGCATATAAGTGAGAGACCATAACTTAGTATTGCTATATCACCATATTTTTTAACAATTCGTTGTGGAACTAAACTAATACTTCCAAATGCTTAAAAAATCTTCCTATTAAATGAGAGTTTTTTACTTCAATCATCACTCTGCCATGAGCATAAGCTCTATCAACTATATGCACTTAGAGACCACTTGACTCTATAGATCCACTATGAAAGTTGCCCACTTTTGAACTTGGATAAACCATGGAAAATTGGAAACAAAGTTTGATCAGATACATCAATATCCATGTACATTTTTAACCAAAACGTGTGTGAAAGAGTCAACGTCTTAGTATTTTAGTATCAATACAAATTATAATGTCATGTGGGACTAAGAAAATACTCTACAAGTTTAAATAATCTCTTAGTCGACCTCATTTTAATCATCTCTTTCTTCTTTGACCCCTATCCAATCCTATCTAAGTCTAGGACTCTTTCGTAGTATCCCCAGATTTTTTGGCCAGGCCTGACCTTTCCTAGTCGGACTGGACTAGGTTCGACTAACCACAAATAGCTTAGTGGGTCCAGTCCTTGTTGGACGAGTCCATGGGTTCGGCTTGGAGAGTTGTGGCCAATAACTTATGTTATACCTTTTAACTATGATCTCTGTAGTAAATTTTCACTATCACGACCACCAACAATAGTCTTTATGACTAACCATTTTCTTTGTAGCAACCAACTATGACCTTTGTGGCCAAATACTATTAGTACAACTTCCAACTATGACTTCTATGGTTAGCTATCATTATAGCAGCCACGGACTATAACTTTTATGGTCAACTAATATCCTTATAACAAGCAACTAAAGCCTTTGTGACCAACTAATACTGTTATAGGTTCCAACTAAGGCCTCTATGGTCAGTTACTACTATTACAACCATCACTTGAGTCTCTGTGGCAACCTATTGCTATTATAGTCAAGAAACATATTTGTTGCAGCATAATAATGATAATTATAGCTACATTATTATTATATATTTATGATTGTCAGCTTTGTAATTTTATATTTTCTAATTCAAGAAAAGAGTGAATATATGTATTTATATTACATTGTGGGCTACAAATACTAGGCTAGCCCCGTGATTTTTTCTCATTACAGGATTTTTCCACGTAAAAAATCCTAGTTTTTTTTTTTTTAATGAGTGTGTGTTGGATTTTATGCAACGCTAGGACTACAAATTATTACTTTACCGCCATGAATTTTCAGGCACATTACAGTCCCTAAGCACGATTGTTAGTATAATATACAATGTTGTCCTAACGCTAGGACAACATTGTTAGTTGCGATAAGAGTTCGAGCGAGTTTAATTTCAATTTCAGTCTCAAACTTTATTCAAAACCAAATTTATTTTAGGCCGAGTTGGCTGGACCCAAAATTCATTTTAATCTCTCTCTCTCTCTCTGGTTTTTATATAATAAGCATGCTATAAAGCTTAATTTATTTTTTATTTTAAGTAAACTATTAACCTTTCATTATTATTTATGTAGTAACATTCCATTATTTTGCTTTATGCGGTTTTGTTTATATATATATATATATATATATATATTGTATATTATACTATATATTATATGCAAGTTATATTACTAGACTAAGGATCCGTTTGGGGAGACACCACAGTTTTGTCTGTTTGAATAAACCATATTTTGACATCCTTTTCAAAAAACTACCGATGAAACTGCATTTTCCTACCGGCTCTAACTAAGTGCAGTGGAATAATTGAATGTCTTGATCTCTCGAATTTAGTGATTGTAAATTTATAAGATTCATTAAATCTTGCATGTAGTAAAACAGGCCCTGAACACCATGAGGTGGTGCAGCCTGTTGAAAATTTTTTTTCCATTTTCCAATTGAGCCTGTTTTATTTCTACTGGTGAGGTTTTAAATTTATTATATTTGAAGAGATTTGTAATGTCTGTTCATATAAATCTAACGTTGGATTTATGGTTTTATTTAATTTATCATAATTCTTAAGAAATCATACTTAACTTTTAAAAAAACTCAACAATCTTTTTTCTCTAAGTCATTGATAAATCTCTAGAATTTCTTTTTTTTCAAATTATTATCATGACTTGCATATACCTCAAATAAAATGTAAATTTCTTATCGACGAAATAATAATAAGAAAAAAGAATTGCTCGATACCAAATTCGACGTAGTTTTTTTATCATTACTATTGCGTGCGAGAAAATTCTGATTCGCTCATAAATCTTGTCATAGTTCAATATAATTTCCAACACATACACAAACAAATATGTAAGAGAAACTTATTTTTTATGTGTAAACCACCTAGAAAGGGAAAAAATAATAAGACCTCGTGATAGGAGGTAAATTTATGTGATTTTACTGCATTAAATATTATGTTACATCCCTTATTTATCATGATATTACACTTAAAAAATGTGCTGTTATTGTGTTGTGCAAGTTACAGTGT